TCTCATGAAAGCATGCATAAGTTCTGTCGCCAAATATTGCCACATGTGGTTAGAACTTCTATACGGTCCAGGCAAATAATTGAGAAGCCTTTTCATGCGCATACAAACAGCACGAGGAGAAATTAGGCAATAAGATCTAGCCTTTCCGTCCGTAGCTGTCATTTATTAGAATTGCTCGTTAAAAAACATTGAAACGAGTGATTGTACGGATTTGGCGCTCGATCTTGATTCTGCAAGGTTTTTCAACTATTGTGAATTGTGATAAAACGATACGCAGTACTGGTAGGAACGATTGAAAAAAAGGGATATTAAGCTGGCTCCCGGAGGAGTCTCCCTTGAAACCCGAATAGGTATGCAAATGGGTGTATCTCGCTTAGAGAAAAAACACCACTGTAAGACAATCAGCACTGGGGTGTCGAGATTTGGACTCGTTTTTACAAAAATCATACAGATGTGTGATCGCTGAATACAGCCACATGTGGCTAATACTCACTTATATTCAAGACATATAACTGAGAATTCTTTTCACGTGCATTCATGAACATAGACTAAAAGCCCGAGGAGAAACTAGGCAGTACGCTTGGACCATTTCCATACGCAGTTATCATTTTCTGGACTCGCTCGTTGAAGAGTATTGCGAGGGATGATTGTACGGTTTTGAGAGATACTATTGGTTCTGCAAGATCTTCAGCGGTTTCTCAACTATACACATGTGAAAGAACCGTTTGAACCCATACAACTTAGCCAGGTTACTCGCCTTTCACATCAATTTGCGGATGATCAACTATTTGTGAGATATAGGCGCTCTCGGAGACAAAGCATGGAGAGCGGAAGATCAAATGAGACATCACATTTACTCGACAGCTAACATTCTCAAGTAGGTGCTCTGAATACGAGAGTGACGTAAACTGGTGTTGCCATCAGATAATAGCCGTGATAATTTATGTTAGCAAACAACCAGTGAGTGACAGGGCATTAAACGGCACCGTTAAGCATTGGTGTGTAGACCCAATTCTAATGGGTCATCGGTTGCGGAATTCGCCCCAAAGGGCGATTGCAGTGGAGTATCAATGCAAGCAGGCAGACAAGTAGTCTGGAAAAATACCGCACGAATTCAGTTAAATAAATTGCGCTTGATCGTTAGGAAATTTGTGGAAAATTATGGGAGCAGTCAATGGCAGCGGGTTGAGGAAACATTTACTAGAACGAATTCCGTGATTCAGCTAAGCCTCAAGCCGCATTGATGAGCTTGTCAAGTAACTTCCCCTCATAGACTTATCTCGACTGAGCTGATAGGTGCCAAGTAGAGTGATGAAGCAATATAAAATCTGGGCATATGGTGAACGTGAACATGACAGTTTCCAAACCTGAACTGCTGGAAATGCTCATTCCATTTTGAGGAACAGTTCCACTATTGACATTTTTTAGACCTGATGACTGCATATGACCAATATTTTAACGAATCGTACAGAACTCGGGCTTCAGCACTATCTAATTTAAATTGCCAATGCTGTCTTACGTATTCTGATAACATTATATGGTCCGGGGGTAATAGTCAATCTGCACAAATTCACAGGCCGCAAATTTTGGAGTTTGATTTCACTGGTTGCTTCAGTTTTCAGCAAATACCCTTCCAAGAAGTGGCGGAAAAGACGCGTCAAAACACAAAGTTCTCCTGTAATTTGTATTTGGGTGCCGTGAATTCCTCCGCATTTTCGGAATCTACAGTATTCTAAGAAAAACACTGTGTTGTGTATTAAAACATTTTCCCACCATCGCAGAAAGAAACATGCACACGAGACCAATTAAGAAGGTTCATCGTTAACCACATTGAAATCTGGATACTGACACATCCACCGTTCTGGCTCTGATCATCACAAACAGGTACAGTCCCCGACTTTCCTCAAGCGTTTGTTATAATTGAACCGAAAGTTCACGAAATACAACAAGTACATTCATTTGTATGCCGATTTGATTTTCACGGGAGATATAGCTGAAATCCAACCGAATCTTATATCCTAACCAAGAGATTCACCTAAATTTCAGGTTAGTCTTCCATTAAAACGCAAATGAGTGTATTTCACTAATTTCGTGCGATTAGGGTTCAAGTAGGACACATGGTGGATGGAAACGAGGACTACACCGATCTACGAAATCGGTCGCTTCGGAACAGCATAAACAGGAGATTAACCTGGGTTCCATCTGGGTCTCCCGTCAGCACCAAATTGGTATGCAGATAAGGTCATTCGTCCAATCAGATGTATTGGGAGGCACACCACTGTCTGAACAAACACGTTTTGTCGTAGATAAAATGGAGTGGGATGTGAAATCACACCTGAGCCTTGAAAATTTTGTTTTTGACCCAGTCGGCTGTGATCCTCAGTTAGGCTTGGCCACTGGATTTCTAATCTAAGGTTTTCAGTGGATTTCCGTACTCACTAAAACTAAATCGGTGTTGTGTTGATGGCAGCTTACTCGTCAAGGTCAAAGAGGTTTACCGTTGTCCTAATAATTTGTATCCCCACGTCAGGTTTATATTTGGGCTGGAGTTACTTTCGGGTAGGTTCCTATTGTTAGACTACATGATATCAAAGCCTGATGAGATCCTAAATCTTACTGAGCACACAGGTCAGCTGAATTCGCGTTATTGTTGCCTCATTCTGAAGTAGCCTGGTGAAGACACTGTTTACCGGAGTTAATCGAATGACAGCAAAAATTGAAGTGACAAAGACCTCTAAAGATTGAATATCCAGCCAATTTGATTGATCGTTACTTACGAGAAGTATTGGTACTCGCAGTATGAATTACTATAAAATGGATCATGAAATGCTACCATCCCATTTGGGCTGAAAGGTCTTAAATTCGACGGAAAGCTTTAACTTAACCGTAGTCTTTCATGAATCCCACACTCTTAGATCTTTATCAGGGTATTTGACTGATCGCTTCCAAGTAGAACATTGAGTGCGACTGCATTAAGGTGGACATTTGATAGACAGATGGAAAAACTCAACTCAGAGTCAATAGGAAGAGAAAAGAACACCAAGAAACATGGATGAATATTCGGTGTTTGTCAAAGACTTAGCACTGGCCGGACATGAATCGAAAAAAAGAGTAAAAATGTATTTAAAAGCTAAAAATTTTGACGTGTGTAGCCCCACCGCAGTAATCGAAGGCCGAAACGACAGAAGTCGCCAAAAATCTCACCGTTATTGAAATAAAAGACGTGGGACGCGTGTGGAGAAAAGCTTCAGAACAGTCGGGTTGGTAAGCAGTCGTATTCATTTACCCATCTAAAACCAACAGATGGGTCATGTCAACAAAAGATACACTCACTCCCATTTCCTCCACGAATTGTCATACAAACTAGTAGCCAAAACAGACCAACATAAATTGCAAATGACACGCAACGGTTACCATCAGTTGAGCTACCCTTAACCGGAAGACCAAAGACGCGAACCAGACCAAACGGATGTGGAATCTGATCAACTCATCGATCGTAGGACTCAGGAACTCACACTGGCCAACCAGGTCTTGTAAAAATGGTAAAGCGTTCTAAGTGAAGTAGATCACGTTGATTTTAGTAAACGACATTACTCATAAGGTTGCTGAAAACTCTTCGACAGCCCACGACCGGTTTCGCCCTTCTTGGGCTCATCAGGTAGGCGCAGTCCCCGAGTTTCCGTCGACCTCATGTTCTAACTGAACCCAAATTGGACTGTTTTCGAGGAATACACTCATCTGCAAATCAATTTGGTTTTCACGGAGACTC